TTAGCAACGTTCATTGCACGTTGTCGTTCATTCTTTTAGCAACGCGCATTTGAACGTTGCCATTAACCTATTCGCAACGTTCATTGCACGTTGTCTTTCATTCTTTTAGCAACGCGCGTTTGAACGTTGCCATTAACATTTTAACAACGTCCGTTGCACGTTATTGTTAATGAAATATTAATTATACAACTTTCATCCCAACAAACCCTAGCAACCATTTTCAATTTTCCTCGTCCTCATGTCTTCTCACCGCCTTCTCTCTTTAATTTTCATCCCAACCCTAATTAATTTCCCCTAAAACTTTGTCTTCTCCTCCTCTCTTTCTCCTTAGCCAAAACCGTCTCCTCTCCATTTCCATCTCTCTCTCTCTCTCTCTTAGCAATTGACTGACGGATTGCGTAGATTTGGGAGGTGTGACCACCACCCTTGATGCGGATACACATGTCGACTCCAGCAAAGCGGTGGCAGCCGAGAAGAAGAATGGGCTCGAACGCCTTGTAGCGGAGGATCTACGGCTGGACCAGCTCGATTGGGACTTCGTTCATTTTGATCAAGCCTCGACCGCTCTTGCAGGGGTCACGGCGACCGCGACGACGGTTTTCTTCCTGCCGAAAGGAAGAAATCTCTTTCCCCTTTAAAAATCAGTTAATGATTTACGGAGAGGATGACATGTTTTGTTTCTTCTTTACAGTTAATCCGTTTATCTTCTATTTCTTCTAGCAAATCTTTTCTGAGCTATTTCTTATGTCTCTGTATTGAGGATTATAACTGCTTATTGGGTTTGTATGTTTTTTATTGTCATAAAATTTTTGGAGGCTTCAGAAAGTTTTTGGTTTATTTGTTGATTTCAGATTGATTTCGTTATAAAGGGTGAACAATTTGCTACTGTGAAGCCATGGCTCTGGTGAGTATTTCTATTTTCTCGATTACTTTTCTGTTTTTTTTCCCACAGAATTTTGTATTATTTGACAGATCTATGCGTGGTTTTTTTTGTAAAATCATGTATTTTCTGCACGTAAGTTTGAAAAGAGTAGTTTTATATGTATGAAAGTCTGTAAATCGATGTGTGTTTTTTTCATTGAGTTGATTAAGAAATTCCAGTAATACGTGGTTTTAATGGAATTCAACATTGTTAATTATAGTTATTGTGTAGATTTTAAATAGTTTGTAGATGTGTTAAGAAGATCTATTGGCGATGTAAAAGATTGAAATATAAATATGTGAACTATGATGGATCCTTCAGTTGAAATTTTAGATCTTGTAAATTTGTAATCTTCACTGTTCTTCTTAATTTGGCAAAGGCTTTTTTTACTTATTCTTTATGGTGTATTTTGTGTGTTTGGTGTGATCCAGCACCCAAGGCCAATGAGAGATTGTAGGATAGTGGCTTTTACATTGATATCCTTCTTATACGTTTTGAAATATTATTTCAATAAAAAGTTTAACTTCTTAAATTTAACACATGGCTGCCTTCTATAGTTTTGAAATTATCTTTCACAAGCTTCAGCTTATAAGTATCCAATATGTTAACTTATTGACACTTTTTCTCAAATTATTTGAGTTTGCAGTTTTCAGCTTCTGCATGCGAGTAGTACAAACGAGCATGGCTTCAAGGCACTCATTGCTGCAGAATACAGTGATGTAAAAATTGAACTTGTTAAAATTTTTGAGATGGGTGTATCAAACAAGACTCCTGAGTTCCTGAAAATGAATCCTATTGGAAAGGTATGCAAGAATATCTCATGGGAAAACACATGGTGCTAGTTATGGCGTTCCATTTTTTCCTGATCTGAGTTTCTCTCCTATAGATTCCCATACTTGAAACTCCCGATGGCCCAATATTTGAAAGCAATGCTATTGCTCGATATGGTGAAACCATTTCTCCATTCCTTGGTTGACCGCTTGATTTATTTTTAGAGCTTGTTTTGACCCTTTTTTTTTTTATCACCATGTGCAATTACACGGCTGAAGGTAGATAACCCCCTGTATTTTAAGAGTAAAAAGTCACAAGATTTTAATAATATAAATTTGCATTGATGTTGATTGACATGTCAATTTACTCTTATGGTCTTCTTTTATGGTTTTTATGCTGGCAGGTAAACCCCAGGTGGAAGAATAGCATCAATCATGATAACTAAAATTCAAGAATCCATTCAATTTTGGTCTATCCTTGTAACTGGAAGTTATTATGTACCAGAGAAGAGTTTCTGAAAATTATGAACTTGAACATCATTGATTTACTTGTCATTTTGGCAGTTTTTGAAAATCCATTTGATTTTGCTCTATCCTTTTCTTCTGTGTTTGCTTATGCCTTGTCATTTTGGCAGATTCTAAGAAGAATATTTCAATTTTCATTTGTAATGGCTGATTTTTTGTTCTGTGTTTTTCAGAGCTATTTGATCTTGTGATTATTGAAGGTGAAACAATCCGGGAATGGCTGTTCTTTGACAAGCCTCGCAGAGCGTTTGAGAGTGGAAATAGAAGCAGCGATCGTTACCTGATTATAAAGGGCGTGGTTGGCATGAGTCGAGAAAGCAAGTAATGAATGAATTTCGAGGTTTGAAGAGATCCTGCTATATGGACCCACAGCCCATGGAAAATTATGAGTGGCACTTTTGGTAGTTTGTTTTTATTTTTTTTTTTTGAAATGTATTGGATTTTTAGAAGTTTCAAAAATTTTGATCTGAATTTTGTATGGATATTGTTATATTTTAGAGTTCAGTTAATGATGATTATTGGATTTATTTGATATTGTTATCTTCTATCTTGTTTTGTGGTTGATTTCAAATAAAAGAATTAAAAAAAAATAAAATGTAAAATGACGTACGGCAACGTTCAGCGAACGTTGCAGAAAGTGTCTACGGCAACGTTCATTGCACATTGCCGTAGACACTTTCGGCAACATTCATTGCACGTTGTCGAAAGCGTCTACGGCAACGTGCAATGAACGTTGCCATAAGTGTGAACTCTACGGCGACATCGTAACCCGCAACGTGCACCCGAACGCTGTCAAAAGTCTATGGCAACGTTTTTCGCGCGTTGTCGTTGGCAGTTTTTGGTGTAGTGGGGTGTGGTGTAAATCTCCATAGAGGAGGTGGTAGTGGCGATGGTGTGCAGTGGTGGTATGTTTTTGGGCGGCGCTAGTGGATCTGTGGTAGGAGGTGAATATCAAATTTCCAGAATCGAAAACTAATTTAGCCACAATTTCATGAATTTCAAATTTTAGAAATGTGAAACTTCGCAGCATTCATGAAATCGAAAGTGAAGATTCAATCGTTGGGTTTTT